TTCCCTGCTTTCAGCTAAGATCCATCTAACAGTGACCCTATATACAACAACCCTAAACTCTGCTCTGTCCTGTGCCAGTCGCACTGTCTCCGACACACCCATCCCAATTACCTATCATGGAATCAATCCACCTCATAGAGGGCCTCCACTCCTGTGCTGTCCCTCCACCCTACCAAGCATGATGTCTCTCTCCAAGGACTGGTCCCTCCTTACATCATGTCCAAAGTATGTTAGGCAGAGCCTTAGAATCCTTGCCTCCAGGGAGCCGCCCAGTTTAACCCTTTCCAGAATGAATCTGTTTGTTTTCCTAGCAGTCCATGGGACTCTCAAAACTCTTCTCCAGCACCACAGCTGACTTAAACAAATTATAAATCGTCTGACTTTTTTTTATGTTATGAAAACAAACCGTGCAGTAAATATTTTTTTTTAAAACAGCAAGTTTAATAGTTAAGACTGTAGAGCAAATATATCTCTTATAGCAGTAAAAGACTCACAATCAGGAAGTTAAGCGACGTATTCTGGTGGTCAAGTCGACTGTTAAGGAACTCTCCAAATTACTGAGAAGCAATAAATATAAGTTTTGAAGTTTGTGTGAATTTGAAGACTAAGGTGTGCTTGACTCAGGCCATGATCTTTTCATTCACTTGCTATGCACGTGAGAGCTAGACAGTGAATAAAGATGACAGAGAAGAATTGATGCCATTCGGTTGTAGTGTTGGAGAAGTCATGGACTACCAAAACAATAAACAGGTATGTCTTAGCGAGAGTGTTCCTTGGAGGCAAGGATGGTGAAGCTTTGTCCTACTTGCTTTGGGCATGTTTTTAGGAGAAGTTATTCCTTGGAGAGGGACATCATGTTTAGAAAGATGGAGGGTCAGCAAAATTATCGAAGACCCTCAAGAAGATGGATTAATACATTGACTGCAGCAGTGGTCTGAAGTATGTTAGAAGTGATGAAGATGCACTGGAAAAGACAGGGTTCAGATCTGTTCATAGTGACACTATGAGACTTACTCGACGGCACATAACAGCAATAATAAGAAGCAAATCATACTCAGACAATATGTTATATTTAAGGAAAACTATATTGTCTTATTGTAAGACAATTTTATGCTATAGTCTTTAGGATGTTGGTAGTTTAGAAAGGTGAAAATTAAAAGGATAAACAAAGGTATCAGGCAAATACAAATTTTTTTAACTGCAACAGTGTACTTGAACATAGTGGAGATTATGAGGAAGGTGCGGGGTAGGACAAAGTTCAGTCTGTTGTTTGTAGGGTCGCTATGGCTTGTTTTTGATTTAAAGGCACCTAACAACTACAACAAGTAATACTGTTTACAGAACTCAGAGATACATTTGAAAAAGCAAAGATGAGAATTTATTTGGCACTCATTCGTTTAAGAATGGCAAGTTTATGTGTCCTAGGGACCTTACATTTATAAATTGGAAGATCCTCTTTAAAAAGAATTCAAAATTAAAAGAATGAAATGAAATACTTATTTTAAATGAAGAAAGCCATACAAAGTACTAGAGCCTTGGATTTGGTCTCTTTCTCTAGGAATTTTACCAGAACTGTTGGTATCAATGGCTTTCTGTTTTCAGTCTGGCATCCCAATCCCCCCTACATCCTTTTATAGTTTCCATGTATCATGTAGCTGGTGCAAGTGGTAAGCCTTGAGCTAAGCATCATAGTGAAACTGACTGCATTAAGAAGGAACACAGTGAATGCCTAAGGAGAAAGTGGAATGTTTGAATAATTGCCTCCTTTGCCATGAGATCCGATGAATGGATAGTGCCCACCATCCATTTTAGAACAGCTTGATTAAAGTCCATAGAAGAATCTTAATCACATGGGAGGAAATACACAACAGAACTTAAAGTTCTTATGAACTTTAGATTTTCTAGAGGCATGGAGAATAGATGACCCTGAGATAATCTTTAATCTGAAATCTTCTTAACACCCAACATTAGGTTGTTTTAATTAGTAATAAATACCTGCCTTGAGCTTTTTGTGTTTTTTTTTTAAATATATATATGTATTTTATTGATTTTTACATAATACCTTTACCATATGTTTCATTCATATACTATTTTACATTTTTTCTTTACTAGTTTATTTACAAAATTCTAATACAAATTCGAACAAATTCTTTCAGTTTCCCTCACCCCGCCCCATCAAATTGTACAACCCACTGATTAATCCCACTTTCCCCTGCACATCCACACCCCACTGTTTCGAGCCTCTCTCACACCTCCTGGATTCTTACACTCATTTTACAATAACAGTCTTCTACAATATTTATCCTGAGTTAGCTCACCCAGCATAAGAGTATTTTGTTCTTTTAAGTCCTATATGAGAGAAAATTGCCCTCAACACCTGGAAAGATTAAGTAGGAACCTTAAAGGGCATTGAGTTTATTTTAATGAGGGAGGAACAACTTAGTAAAGGAGTGTGAGTATAGTTAAATTACTTAAAGAATATAATTAATGTCCTTGAATTGTGCATATAGTAACTGTTGAATATTTGTTTTGCTGTATATATTTTTAATAGCAACAGAATAAATTTTTTAATAGCAACAGAACAAAATAAGAAGCAAACTGCCTCTCCATTCAAGAAATACTATTAGGCATACTCTTTGTCAGGACATTTTTGAGAAGTTTGGTGGCTTGATGGTTAAGTGCTTGGTTGAAAACCACAGAAATTGCAGTTTGCACCCAAAAGTAATTCCATTTTAGAAAAGTAGAGCAGTGTGTTTCATAAAGATTTATAGCCTTGGAAACTCCATGGAGCAGTGTCCTTCTGACTGCTAGGGCTGTTGAGTTGGAATCAACTCAGTGGGATCTGGTTTTTGGGTGCTAGGGATAGTATAATGAAAAATAAGAACTCCCTATGGAGGAGCTTGCATTCTAGGGAAATAAGCAAACAAGTAGGATATATCTCAGTAATGATAAGTGCTCCAAAGAAAGTAGAGCAGTTGGTTGGAGTGTCAGAAAGGTGGTTACCGTGATGCGGATATAGTGTGGTTAATTCTCTTGTTTTTGAAGGTTCATTTGAAAGCTGTTAATTATATAAGATGAAATAAAGTAAGCAGAGGCAGCAGTAGTTCTTGTGTTTTAACAGTACCCACCGATAGGCCATTACAGAACAGCTCAAGCTATCAAGGATACAGGAAAAACTAAAGTTAAAAGTTGTCCTGTAACTTTTTTTAAATACTAAGATTTTCAGTTTCTGAAAGCTAACAAATAACAATCATTAAGGACTTGACAAAGTTTTTGTCATGTATTCTGTCCTAATCAGTAGATATTTAGACAAGAACAGATATATGAAGTATATTATTCAGTTGCAATGCTATTTGCAACACACAAAATTTGGAAGTATCTTAACTAGTAAAATAAAAAAAGTGGAGAATAATTTTTTCTTATGGCCATACTAAGGAATTTTATGTAGCTGTTTATCTGGTTTTGAAATAACAGTTATTGATGCAGATAAATGATCATTATATGTTTTAAAGAATGAGACACTGTCTAAAGTGTCACAGGGCTGTGAATGTCTCTCTGAAAGGGCCAGAGGGAGTAAGAAGAGCACAGCCCCTCACTGCTCCAGAGCAAAAACTAGATAAAGAACTTGTAGCCCAGCACCATGCTACCTCTAGGGCCACACCAAGAGCAAGAAATTTGTTTGTTCATTGTTGACTCGCAGACTTACAATTGTGGTATAGAGAATGGGAATTTTAAGGAAATAAGTTGGAGAATGAAGGAGGCAAAGAATATAACCCAGTACAAGTTCAGGTTTTAGTCCGAGTTCCAAGGCACAAGTCCTCCAAATTATCTAGCAACATTTGCCTCAGAATAGTTACAAGTCAGCTTCTCCTATAAGTATCTGACAAGAAACAGCAAAAACCTTTAAACTGTGACCTTTATCTCAGGGCTCCTCTGCTTACACCTTGCCACAGTTTCTTCACAGCAATGCCACAGTCTCTTCACCATCAGAGTCTCACTGTCCTCAGGGTCTTGTTCTAGTTTCTCTCAAGTCTTGCCACCACAAGTCTTGCTTACCTCAAGTCTTGCATCTTTCTCTTATCCTAGTCTCACAGCCATTAATGATTTGCAAGAATATATTGATTTGTAAAACTGTGTCTCCAGTTAAGGTAGCTGGAGACCAGCAGGGCTAACTGCAATGGCTAAAAGAAAGTCAGCCTTCTGGCTAACACCACAGACAGAAATAATTAGAAAGTGTAAAATCTTATCTTTAAGCCCTGGTGACACAGTGATCAAGTACTTTGGTGCTGGACTGTCAATTGAAAGGTTGGTGGTTTGAACTCATTTGTACCTCTGAGGGATAAAGACCTGGCAATTTGCTACCATAATGATTATAGGCTAGGAAACCTCATGTGATAGTTATACTCTTTTACAAGAGATCATTACAAGTTGAAAATCAACACACAACAAATGTATGTATTTTTTATATATATGTAAAATATATATACATCTATGTAAGACAAAGTCTTAATATTTGGTATCTATAAATAGCTAGGAATTTATGCTAAAAAGACATTAAAATTTTTAGTAGATTTCTATGAGGATTTTATTTTAACAATAAAAAATGTTTAGGATTGTCATACAGAAACTTATTTAGTTTTTTTTGCAAGTTAAGCATTCACTTAGTGTTGGAGAATCAGAACTAACAATTATGATGCTGGTATAAATGTTATGGGCCAAGTCTTTGAATGTAAGGCTTTCTCCTTTAACAAATGGTCTCAGAAAGAATCTTGACTTCCCCTTGAAGTCAAAAGAAGTCTCCAGTAGTAACCCGAGGTCAGTGTGGTGTGGTGAGCAGGCTTCTTAAACTTCAAACAGTTAAGTCAGACCTTTGCTTCTGCTTTTTCCAAAAATGAGTAGAAAACATTGAGTTTAAATTTTTTGTATACAATTATGTTTGATACTAATGTGATATCTAATTGTAAACTAAGAGCATTATATGAAAAATCTGTGGTTTCTTAATTTTATAAGGCTGAAATTATTGCCAGTTAGGTTGTGACATATTTATGCTCTTATTTACTGCATAAAGTTTCAAGGATGAGTTAATTAACAATTACTTGAATTGCTTAGTAATTTATTCATATGTTGTTAATTTAGAGTAATATTAATAATGTTATATTCATTATCATTAAGGTGCAGCCTGATTTCAGAAAATTACTTATAACCTGTTTCACATACTTATGTTATCTATTCTCAAGAGCAACTTTTAATTGGCTTATAGTGAATTGTTATGGAGCTAATTGTTAGGGAGTTAATTATTAGGTGGCATAGTCTATCAGGAGAGTTGCAATGCTAACTCAAAAGCAGTCCCTCTTTGGAGGTTTTACTCTGCCAGTGGCTCTTCAGGAGAAAGATGGGCAATCTCCTCCTGTACGATTATACCTTTCAAAGAACCTGCTGTAAGATCAGCTGTGAGTTAATTCCAATTTGAAGGCATTGAAGGTCTCTTTGTTTCACCCTGTGTATTGTTACTTGTTGAAGAGCATAATAGAAGTGCATATTTCTATGTTTAAGCATTATCTATGATACAGTGACTGAGGCAGTGGGAGTTGGTGTGTTGGAATTAGTGAGACTAGCTCAGGACAGGGCGGGCTTCAGAGCTGCTGTACATAGGGTCATATGGGTCGCAGACAACTCGACAGCACATAACAGTAACAACAATTAGAACTTCACATAATTAATGACTTAAATATAGGTATTTTAAAAGCATTATAAAATATTATCATAGTGTTAAAGGAATAGAAGTATACACAATAGTGATGTGCATATATGTGTTGTAAGAATTTTACAGAGGAGGTGATTTAAGAACATAAAGCATAACTGTAATGAGACAAAAACATGCCCCAAAAAACCCCACTATTTAGCAGTCTTCAATACTATGAAGAAACACTCTTCAGTTTTGTTGGATTCCCCCCACCCCGCAGTCTTCAGTTCTTAAATATTTATTACCTTATTATTCAATATCATCAAGAACTGACTCTTAGCTGACCCTGCGTTGGATTGCCAAGGCTATAAATCACATGGGAGGAGATGGCTCATCTTTGTTTTTTAAGAATAATTTTTTCCTTTATTTTTATGGAAATAGCACATGCCTTCTATGTTTGTTTGCCAATTACTCCTCCATTACTAGGTATTTATTTTTATATATTTATTTCCTTTTATTTTTTTATAATTTTTGTGTGAGTGTACCCTCAAATCAGATCTGACTGGTACAGGAGGAGATTGTCCCTCCTTCCCCGGCAGAGCATCTGGTGGATTCTAACCGTGGTGGATTGTAGTTGCAGCTCCGTGCCACTAGGCCACCAGAGCTCCCCTATTTATTTCTTTTTAATCTTAGTGAAGGTTTATAGAGCAATTAGTTTTATTCTTTTATTCATGCACTTCTCCTTTTCCTCTTCCACATTCTAATCATCATTCCTTTTAGATTGTCCTTCATTTCACCCATTCCAGTACAACATTATCTATCCAGTCTTTTCATGCTCTCTTCCCCCTTAGTTTTAATCTAATTACAATAGTGGGCTTATGAAGTGTTTGTCCCTTTTTGAGCATTTACTCTAAATGTGATTATTTTTGCATTATAGGGGTATAGTCAGGTACTCTAATTGTATTCATGTATAAAATATTATCAACCAAGAAATCTAAATATATCAATGTGAGTAGAAGTTTATGTATTTTATTGAGTAGATTATTTGTTATACTCTCTAATTGCTTACATTCTGCTTTGGAGATCTACATCTCAAAATCTCAAAGAAATAACAGGAAGCAGACCATGAATAAAGTACATTGTTTCTACTATTTTTAAGATTATTTTAAACATATTTGTTTGCACTCTGTACATAGGGCATAGGATGCAACATTTGAGTGAAGGAGCCAAGGGTCGGCAAATGGGAAGTGGAGGTGATGGAGAACGCTGGGGCTCAGACAGAGGGTCCAGAGGCACCCTCAATGAGCAGATTGCCCTGGTTCTCATGAGATTGCAAGAAGACATGCAGAATGTCCTCCAGAGACTTCATAAACTGGAAACGCTAACGGCTTCACAGGTAAGTGTCTAAATTTGCCTTGACTTCTTCTAGTTGTTGATCAGATTTTAAAAAGTCATTATACTTAAATCCTTTAAAAAAATTTCAGTGCTTGCTTCGGCAGCACATATACTAAAATTGGAACGATACAGAGAAGATTCGCATGGCCCCTGCGCAAGGATGACACGCAAATTCGTGAAGCGTTCCATATTTTCGACCCTGAAATTAACCAGTCTGTAACGAAGGCTAACTCCTTTCACCTACAAATTTCGTCTTTGGATACAAAGCTAAGTGGATAGTCCTTACGGAGGGACTGTTTGAAAAAAAAAAAGAGGCAGGGAGAAGAAAAGAAAAAAAAATTTTCAAAGCATTTTCTTAAAAAATAAAAATGACCCATCTTCAGCTGAGTTCTCTAGAAAATATATATATTTATATATGTGTATATATTTTCTGTTTTATTTCCAAGGAAATGACTCATGCACTGGTAGAGGCTAACAGGCCCAGTTACTTCAGCAGAGGCTAATGGTTCCAAAGTTGGCAGGCAGAGCCATTGCTTGATGATTCGGAAGCTGATGAGTCCAGGGTCAGCACTTAAGGCAGGGACTGTCCATAGCAGCAAAAAGTTTGCTAGTTTTTCCAGGATACGTACCTTTACTTCATACAGGCCACATCCCTCAGCCTACTTTGCCTACATTTGATCGTTGCTTATCAGATCATGACATAACTGCCTTTCATCCTGCCTTATTAACATGATAGACATTAGGATTTACAATACATAAAATTATTACGTTGTGGTAAGAATCCTGGCCATGTTTACACATATATTAACCATCACATGGCCCATTTTTAAACTATTATATTTAAAGAATACCTTAAAATCTAAATACTTAACACTTAAGACAATATCGGTTTTTCAGAGTAAAAATGGCTTTACAAACATTTTGAAGGTGGGTGAAGGGTGTTTGCTCATGCAAGAGCTGCTAAAAAGTTCAGATGAGGAACTAATGTCCTACAGTCCATAATTAAGAGTCATTGTCTTGTAATAAGCTTTGTCATCTGTCTTCTTTAAAATGCTCGTAGAGGAAATAATGTTATGTTTAGTATCAGAAAGGAAGTTAGAGTTATAGTTTGATGTTTATTTTCTTGAAAAACCTAAACATTTACACTTTCAGAAACTTAAGCAGAGCTCCGATTTCTTGTATTCTTATCCACTGCTCTTTCTGTTATGTCAGACTGCCTTCTTTTGTTGGAAAAAGGTAGGCTGTTTACTATGGAGGAGGTACTAAAAAAAGGGGGGGAAATTCAAAGGAAAAAAGATAAAGATTATTTAAGTTCATAGTTTTATCTGGCTGTGGTAATGATGAAGGTGCCCTTGCAGTGTAGTGTGTTCCATGTTGTGCTGCTAACTTAGAAATCAGCAGTTCAAATCCACCAGATGATCCACAGGAGAAAGATGAAGCAGTCTCTTCCCATAAAGTGTTATTGCCTCAGAAACCCCATTGAGGGCCACCATAAGCAGAAATCTACTCAACAGCAGTGTGTTTGTTTGGGATGTTTTTGGTTGATAATGGTTGGGCTTAGTTGTAGAGGTTTAAAAGATGACTGGTGGGCTTTCCTGTTTTCCAATTGCTCCACTATAATCCCAGAGGTACGCGGTTCAAATCCACCAGATGCTCAGCTGGAGAAGGAGGGGGCAATCTCCTCCTGTACCAGTCAGATCTGATTTGATGGTACGCGTAAAAATAATACAATAAGAATTTAAAAAAAGTTAATATTGAGTGCAGAAAAGAAGCTGCTAGCTTGATCATGGAACATAGTTTTGAACATGTCACATCAAAGCATCTGTTATGGTAGATATTAGGAAAAATTTATAGGGACAAAGAAAATATGTTGCATCCTTAGGGTGCCTCTGTTTACAAGGCGAACACATAATACTAACCCCCCAAAAATTAAAGCCACTGTCATCAAGTCAGTTCTGACCCATAAGAACTTTATGTGACAGAGTAGAGCGGCCCTGTAGTTTCTTTCTTTTTTTTTTTTTTTTAAGAGTTCAGGATTTTTTATTGAACATGTTACAAAAGGAGTTTAGTCAAAAAGACCAAATCCCATGTCATCATCAGACTCTTCAGATTCTTCTTTCTTTGCT